ATCATTTTGGACTTGTGAAGAATTGCAGAATTTTCTGGTTTTCCAGTTGCTGGTTTCCTTCTCCGCGTTCACGAGGGGAGTTCCGCATTCACGAAGAGGAACTGGAGGCAGGTGGGATTTTTTGCTTCGCGTTTGCGATGTTGGTCCCGCGTTCGTGTAGGGTCGAGCTGAGTGACCTTCGTGTTAGCGATTAGGCCATCGCGTTCGCGATGAAGGATTTTGAGCTGGAGTAAGTTTGTGCTTCGCGAACAAGAGGGTTCTTCCGCATTCGCGAAGAAGGGATTCCTAGGCAGTATTAAACTTTTCAAAAACAAGGGTTAGCCATTTTTATCAAAACTTGAGATAGAGAGCTCGGATTTGGACGAGATTTTGAGGTAATTTCAGAGACATCGATTGGGTAATGATTCTTCACTTGTTTTTGGTTAAACCCCACTACTCTATCATTAATTCCATCCTTTAATTTTGGATTTGGGTTAAAAATTTTGGAAACATGGGAGAAGCTCTTCAACTAAGTTTTTGGGTTTTGATTGGGATTTTGACATCGCATTTGGATAATTTTGGTACGAGCGAACTCATGAGTGAATGGGTGTTCATATTTTGTGACTTTTACCCGATTCCAAGACGTGGGCCCGGGTCGACTTTTTGGGCGATTCTTTAATTTCTTTCTTAAGCCTTGATTTCATTAATTAGATTAGTTATAGTTATATTTATGGTATGTAATTGCTTTTGGCTAGATTTGGGCCATTCGGAGTTGGAAAATCATGGAAAAAGCATTGTTACTGATTGATTGAGCTTGGTTCGAGGTAAGTGGCTTGCCTAACCTTGTGTAAGGGAAATCCCCTTAGGGTTTGGTACTGTTGTGTTATGCGAGCACCGTGTACGCGAGGCAACGAGTGCGTACACGGCCTAATTGTTGAAAAATTCGGTTTTTACTACGTAGTAACCTGTTTTCATCTTAATTGAGTTATACCAGCATGTGTAGTTATCCTGTTTAGTCTAATATCGCATGTCTACGTGCTTTAACTGCTTATTTGAACTATGTGCAGCATGCCTAGTTGATTTCCTGTTTTTCCTTGATCTGTATCAGTCTTAACTGCAGAATTCTTGTTGTTATTGTTGTTTTTATTAGTTGAGATGTGTGTTTTACTTTTGGGACTACGAGGCGGTACCTCGAGAGATTCCCCTGCATCTTTACTTTTGAGACTACGAGGCAGTACCTCGAGAGATCTCCCTGCACATTTACTTTTGAGACTACGAGGCGGTACCTCGGTAGATCTCCTTACATATTTACTTTTGGGACTACGAGACGGTATCTCAGGAGATCCCCTGCTGCTTTATCCCTGTGTGATGTACTGTTATTTTGCTGTGTTTTCCTCTTTGTTAAATTTGACTCTCTTATTATATTGCTATATTCTCCCGCTTTATTTATTATATACCAGTGGGCCATGACCTGACCTCGTCAATACTCGATCGAGGTTAGACTTGGCACTTACTGGGTATCGTTGTGGTGTACTCATGCTACTCTTCTGCACATCTTTTGTGTGCAGATTGAGGTATTTCTTATCAGCCATGTCATTAGTGAGTAGTGACAGTTTGGAGACTTCAAGGTATATCTACCGCGTCCGCAGACCTCGGAGTCCCCCTCTTTTTCCTCATATGTCATTTACCTTTCGTACTTCTTTTCTTAGACTCTGGTGTATAGAGATACTAGTTTTCTTCTGTAGTTTGTGACTTATGATGTTCCGGGTTTTGGGAATACTGTGTATCACTAGAGTGTTGGTTATTCTACATGCCGAGCGGCATTGTTATCAGTTATTTAATTATCTGTTGTAGTTAGCTATTAAGTTTTACTTCTATTTTTGTTATTTCCGCAATTGGTTAGGCTTACCTAGTCATAGAGACTAGGTGTCGTCATGACGTCTTACGGATGGAGATTTGGGGTCGTGACACCAAGGATGACAAGTTTGCAGAAAGAGTAAGACCAACTGTGTTCTTCAGCTACTCAGAATTACAGAAGGCTACATTCTTTTAGACCTAAGAACACAATCTTTTTTTGTTAATAGAAATGTTACCTTCAGAGAAACGGAGTTTCCTTTTGCCATTTCTTCCTCAAAGAAACAGGTTGCACCTACTGATCGCACATTGTCTCATGATATGCTGCAAGATCCACCACTTAGAGCTACCACCATTGATGACTCAACCCCAACTTCTAGGACTAATGGTGACTCTGAGGGATCATCTGGTATTGCTGCTCAAGTGTCTAACCTGCCTGATTTGGCACATGATCATTCTTCTGCCTTGGAGCATGAAGGGGGAGATAACTTGACAGATGAGCCAAATTCACTTTCAAATTCCTTAGATGAGGAGCACAGTCCATAAGATGGACAGTAGAATACAAAAATTCATGCTCCAATCACCAGGAGGTCATCGAGGTATTCAAAACAACCTGCTTGGATGAAAGATTACATAACCACCAAACAGGGCAACAACAAGCACCCCATTTCTAATCATCTGTCCTATGACAGAACCAAACCAACCTATCAAACTTACCTTGACAAGGTTTATGCACTGGTGGAGCCTCAATGCTTCAAGGAAGCAGCCAAGGATACAAGGTGGATAGAAACAATAAGAAGGAGATTAAAGCATTAGAAGAAAATGGCATATGGGAAGTGGTAGACTTCCCAAAAGGAAAGAATGTAGTAGGATCAAAATGGGTCTACAAGATAAAATATCAAGCTAATGGAGTAGTTGAGAGGTTCAAGACCAAACTTGTAGCAAAAGACTACAATCAAAAGGAAGACCTTGACTATCATGACACCTTTTCATCTGTTGTCAATATGGTAACTGTGAGGTCAGTCATAGCTCTTGCAGTGTCTAGAGGTTGGACCCTATGGCAAATGGATGTGTACAACGCTTTCTTGCAAGGTGACGAAGTCTATATGGAGATGCCTGAAGGCTTTAGAAGACAGGGGGAGTGAAGGGTATGCAAGTTGCTTAAGTCTCTATATGGGCTAAAACAAGCATCTAGGGAGTGGAAAATCAAATTGACTGATGCACTGTTAGATGCAGGGTTTACTCAAAGCAATCATGATTATTTCTTGTTACACTAAATGAATCAAAGGACATAGTGATTGTTCCGGTTTATGTTGACCACTTGCTCATCACAGGTAGCAGCAATGAGGTGATTAGTAAGGCAAAGAAAGTCCTGCATCAGAAATTCAAAATAAAGGACCTTGGTGAATTGAGATGTTTTCTTGGTATAAAGGTGTTGAGGTCCAAGTCTGGAGTTATTCTCAAACAGAGAAAATATGTGCTTGAGTTTATATCTAATATGGGATTGACTGGAGCAAAGCCAGTTAACACACCTTTGGAGTCCAATTCAAAGTTGGCAATTATAGAGTATGACATAACAGTTGGAATCACAAGAGATGAGGTTCTACATGACGTTAGGTCATACCAAAGATTGGTTGGAAGATTAATATATGTCACTGTCACCAGATCTGACATCAATTATACAGTACCGACCTTGAGTCAATTAGCCCAAGAAGTCTAGGAAGTTGCAACAAGGCTGGTGAGGTACTTGAAAAATTCACTAGGACAAGGAATCTGGTTAAAGGCTGGAGTCACACAAGAATTGACATGTTGGTGTAACTCAGATTGAGCAGCATGCCCAAATACAAGGAGGTCAGTAACATGGTACGTAGTCAAGTTTGGAAATCCTAGTTCTCCTGAAAGTCAAAAAAATAACAAACAGTATCTAGAAGCTCAGCTATAGCAGAGTATAGAAGCATGGCCTCAATTATAGTAGAATTGACATGGTTGCTTGGACTGTTAAGGAGCTGGGAGTTGATGTAAGCTGTCCAATGACTGTGTTCAGTGATAACAAGGTTGCTATGCATATTGCAGCTAATTCCTTTTTTCACGAGAGGACAAAAAATATAGAAATAGATTGTCACTTCATCAGAGACAAAAATTAAGGCAGGGATAGTAAAAATTTCATATGTCCACACGAAGGATCAACTGGCAGATCTTTTAACAAAAGTCTTGGGGCAAGTTCAACATGTTCATTTGCTTGGCAAGCTGGGGGTTCTAAACATTTTTCTCCCTCCAACTTGAGGGGGAGTGTATGAGATGGCAATGTCAATGCTACTGGAAAGGAGCACAACTGGAAGTTAGCGGTTAGCAATTATTCAGTTGTGTAATAACCATGTAGTGAACATCTGTTAAGTTAAGTAGTTAGTTAGCTGTATCTTAATGAGTATTAGTGAGATGAGATGATTGTATAAATACATTGAAAAGCAATAGAACAATAGCGGTTATCATTTTGCTTCTCACTCATTTCCCTTTCTTCTTCTTACAGAAGCTTCTCGAGCTTCAATGGCTGAATTCGTCTCAGCTCTCTCTACATTTTAGCAGTGTTCTTGTGCAGTTCTTGTTCTAGAAATCCTTGTGAGTTTTTTGTTTCTTCATAATTTATATAGCAATGTTGAATTTTCTTTACAAAACTAGCTAAGGCCTCGTTTGACTAGTTTTAATAGATTGTCAACCTATTAAAAACTCCCTCTCTTTTTTCTATGAGAAATGTAATGATAGGTTTGCATTAAAAATAGTAACACCTATAAATTATAATACTTTAGTGACAAGTGATGGAGGGACAGGTACAAGTGGAAGTCGTGTGACTTGGTGAGATTTGGTTTGCAATTCCTCTGTTAGCAAAGCAAATATAGGTATCCAACTTATTGATAGTATTTTACTACTTAATTTTTAAAGTAGAATAGTCTTATTTCCTTCTAAAAAAGTTATTATTTGTGACGGTAAAAATAATTGTAAAGAGAAATTTACTGTGGTTTCTCACTTGCTTCCTAACATGGTTCAAACCTTCGAATTGTGGGTTGGAGGAAAAGAAACTCGCGATATTTTATATTTTAGATTTCTGTTTGAATTTTTTTTATATATGCTTTGAATTTTTAGTTGTACATATTTAATGGGGTTTTTAAAAAAAAAAAAATATATATATATATATATAGGGGCGGATTTAGGGGGGCGGAAAGGGTTCAAAATCTTCATAAGATCATAGGTTCAATTCCCACTAGCTAAAAAAAAAAATTTTGAACCCCCTTCATGGAGATCTTGCCTCCGCCACTGTATATATATATATAGAGCTAAAAGCTATTGAATTCCTATATCTTGTACACTATATCCACCCTTGAAAAAAAAGCTATCCATTTCGATGTCATTTCAGTGCGTGGCGTAACACAATAATTTTATTAACAAACTTTTAGTTTCTATATTCATTTGATTGAGTGGCAATGGTAGAAATGAGCAGGCAGTCGAGGCCTAGCAACAGCCATCAAAGGCTTAGCTTTAGGCATAGTCATTCCATAAACCTCACTTGTGTCAATATCTTCAGGTTTCAATCCATTTGGTGGACTCCAATCAAAGCAATGAAACAACCTAGCCAAAGCCATAAGCACCAACTTCACACCCAATGGTGCACCAGGACACTTCCTTTTTCCAGCACTAAATGGCAAAATCTTGAAATCCGCCCCATGACTTATTTCAACTCTAATACTTTCATCTTCTGGTGAATGTCTCTCTGGCCTAAACTCATCTATGTTGTCCCAAATCTTGGTATTCCGACCAAGACCGTGTGTGTTGATGAAGACACGTGTCTTGGCCGGGATATAATAGCCGTTGATCGTAGTATCTCGGATTGATTCATGTGGGATTAGAAATGGACCAGCAGGGTGCATTCGAAAAGTTTCACGTACTACACAACGAAGGTATTTGAGATTGACCAAGTCGGATTCGGTTACCATCCGACCCGATCCAACAACTATGTCAAGCTCTTCTTGGATCTTCTTGAGGACGTGGGGATGCTTTATCACCTCAGCCATTGCCCATTCGTTGGTTACAGCAGATGTATCCGTGGCTGCAGCTATCATATCCTGTAATAAGCAGAAAAAGAAAAAGGAAAAATAAGTCTCACAAAAATATGCTACTACTATTATATGAAATATATTGTTTTATATTTTTGGAGTTATTCATACCTTTACCGAGCTTTAATCTGAAGTATAAGGTCAAGGAAGTAAGAGAAGATTTACTAAAAACAAAAGGTATGGATAATCCCAAAGTATAGAAAGTGTAAAATTGAAATATTTAGAATAAACTTGCACATTTTCCTTTTTGATAAAATATGTCTACTTTCAGACCGTTGATGTTATTATAGCTGTAATATAATAAGTTTAATTTATATACACTAACTGTATAAAGAATTTTTATTCTAGTCATCTAAAAAATAATTACATATAATTAATCATAATAAGTGGGTGTTTGGACATAAGAATTGTAAAATTTTAAAAAAAAGAAAAAAAATTTCAAGTGAAAATGGTATTTGAAAATTAGAGTTGTGTTTTGACATGAATATAATTTTGGGTTATCTTTTATTTTTGTGAGTGAACTGAGTGAAAATTTTGAAAATATAGCTTTTTGGAGTTTTCAAATTTTCGAAAAATTCCAAAATTCATCTTCAAGTGAAAATTAAAAAATTTATGGCCAAACACTAATTTCAAGAAAAAGTGAAAAATTTTCGAATTTTTTTTTTATGGCCAAACACTAATTTCAAGAAAAAGTGAAAAATTTTCGAAATTTTTTTTTATGTCCAAACGGGCTCTAAGTGTGATTGATAGCCTGAAAAATAAATCAGGCAATTTGCTGTAGCATGTTAAAATACTTCAATAGCGTTAAAATTCTTTAAATCATTAGTACGTAGAAATTAAATTCATGATATAAAAGTTTGGTATAAAAAAATTAGACCTGAATGAGAGCTTTAATTTCAACATCATCCATGTGTTGTTTTCCATTCCCATCTCCTTCATCTTCACCTGGCAAAGACAATAAAACATCCACAAAATCCATTTCACCTTCATCAATATTACTTTTACCTTTTTTTCTATGTTCTTCAATTATTCTCATATGAAAATCATCAATCCTTTTCTCCACTTCCCTCATTTTCTTCTCACAATTATGAGGATCAATCCACCTCCATAAAGGTAAATAATCACCTAAATAAATCACTCCAAGAAGCCAAAATAATTCATGAGTAATATGCATAAATTCTTTTGCTTCTTGTGGGCCAGCAGATTCAGCCCCAAAATATTGTTTTCCAAGTAACATTCTAGTCACATTATTCATTGAAAAAGCACCCAAAATTTCCCTTAAATTTAGTGTCTCCCCTTTTTGTGTCTTGGCCCAAACATCTTGAACTAGGGTTTCAGCTTCATCTGCCCTATGTTTTGCAAATGACTCAAGCCTTTTGGTTGTCAACAAATGTTCCATGCAAATTCTTCTCATTCTCTTCCATTTTGGTCCTAATGGAGCCAATGCCACATCCCCACAACCATATGCTAGATGAACAGCAGCAAGAGTTCTTGGCCTAGATGCGAAAACATCGTCTTGTTGTACAAGTATTTCCCTTATGATTTCTGGATCATTGGTGGTGATAGCATCGACGTTACCTGTTAGTAAAAAATATATATAATATAAGGACAAAATTAAATGCAGGCTTTGAGGCGTGAAAAATAACTTTTTAAAGAGTTTTTGCTTGTATCTAATTGGGAAAATACAGACAAGCCCCGTCATATACTGCAGGTTTTTAATAGCCACTGCATGTAGAATTTCTCTATTTATAGGGAAAAGACCAGATCATACCAAATAGACACTTGATTTCATAAATACACATATCTATTCATCTTAAACAAAATTGAATATTCTATAGTAGAAACAAAATAAAGAAAGGTATAATAGTTAGGAAAAGGAAAACAAAATTAAGCCTTTTAAGCATGCAGATGAGTATTTGGTAATAAAAGTAATATAATGTAATAGATGCATTAATATTTTTATATATATGGCTTTGTAGATATACACATATATGTAGGTATACTAAGTTAAAGACCATTGTTAGATTTAACTTATAAAGCCTATAAACATGGGACGTCACAAACATTACAAACTATAATTCAAAGAAGAATCTAAATAGCTGCACTCCCAACTGCTTAAATAAAAAATAACCGTATAATCAGTGTATAATTCATGTATATTGCGAGAAAAAATAAACAGTTAATCCGATTAGCTATTTGTGTAAATATCCCTAACTAAAATTACCTAGTCGGAGGTAAACCAATGGCCCATATTTGTCACAGAATGAAGCCATGTCTCTGTGAGGCAATTGCCCCAACTGAAAAAGGTTGCCCACAATAGGCCATTGTTTTGGACCAGGAGGGAGACGATTGATTTTCTGTTTAGACTTGTCGATAAGTGAAAAATGAACTAGCTTGGAAACAAGATATGCGCAAAGAAAGGCTACAACACAATTGATCAGATCAAAAAGACATGTGCAAAGAAGGAGTAGAATAAAACTGGTTAAGTCGATCATCTTATCTTGTCAAAGAGGAAAAAAGAAAGTAGTTTGTTACAAGCTTTACTAGGAAAATATGTTGCTTAATTCTAATTTATAATATTTTCAGCAGTGTGTATTCGGCTGCAAAAAGACATGACCACGAAATATTAGGAATCCCATCATCTTGCCATGTTTCAACTACACTATATTCATAATCTTGAACTCACTTTTCTTGCCTATGGGGAGAATCGGTTTTATAGTCCATCACAGATGTTATTTTAGTTATATGATTCTTTTCATATGAGATCGGTAAAATAATATAGGACATATAATATAAGGTATTTTGAAAGATCATTTGTTCTAGTCAAATTGTAACTGATTATAGAAAATTATATTCTTCTTGGCACAATAAGTTCGCATTGTACATGTTGAACAATTTTCTTCTAGTTTTGTGTTTACTCGTTTTGTACAAGTTATTTACAAAGATGTATCAACTTAAGCGTATAACCTTTCATACGACCCTTTTTGTTAAAACAATTCAATTATGATTATTGTACTGTTAACCAATGCTCTTGGAAACAGCATTATAGGCTAGCACCAAAATTTAGGAAGATTAAAGACAAGTCCTCTTGTTGCGGTTAAAAGAAGATGGTTTCTATTTAAAACTTATGTCTTTGCTTATGGTAGACCTGGCCCTACGCAATTCATGTATGTCATGGGCAGCTTTCCGGGCATGCCCCATGTTTACCTTGAAAATACGAGTAACAATTAAATTTAATTTGTAGTTTTAAAGATACGTGATTTAATTCAATGCCAATTAATAATCAAGAAGTATAAAGTAGAAATGATAGAAATAAGTGAATCAAACCAGTGTTGTTTAGAAGCATCGACCTCAAGCTCAGTGACCTCGAGATGGATCAAGAACAATAATATAAGAACAATAAAGAGAAAGACAGTTCTGATGAACAATGAGCCAGAGAAAGTAACATAGTATATTCTTTGCGAATGATTAGATGATGTTTACAAATGATTGGGTTCCCCCTTATATAATAAGGAGGGGTCCTAAATAAGGTACATTTCCGTTTTTTAGTAAGGAATCTAATTAGACAGTTGTCTAACTGCCTAGTACAAGTTTGTACAAATCCGTTCCGAAATTTACGCCTTGATATTTGGGCCATTGCGGGAATCTCGCCTTTTCTGTTATAAAATCACAACGGCATTATCTCGAGGCTGGTCACGCTCGGCCTTGATATTCATCGAACACTCTGATCTTCGAACTTCGAACTCTGCCGTCGGGCTCGGACCCAATCTATTTCGGACTCGCTCTTAAAGTGATCCTATAGCCTACGAATTGGGTAGCCCCGATTTCTACCGTATACAGATAGTCCCCTCGTTTTTTGGAGTATAACGACAAGAAACGAATTGAGTCCTTGATCTTTACCTCGATTTGCCACGACATCATCATCGTGACGTAAGTGACTGAGGAAACAAAAGCTTGGAAGCCGGACTTTCCCGAGGAAGACTCCGAGAACTCTAGCGAATCCGGCGGTGGAGAAGATTCTGAGGGTGAAGACACTTCTGCCGATAGGGATCGTACTGCTTAGGCTTCGCGTTCTTCGTAATTTTTTGCTTTTGAGGCTGATCAGCCCTTACGAGGAACTCTTGATCGTGACCTATAGTCCTTGTAAAAAGTTTTATACCAAGCCTTTTTCCTTCCATGGCTTCTAAATCTGTTACCCTTTTGTGCGGGTCAAAGCGCCTTAGCATAAAATTCTTTTTGAATGTCCAAAGTTTGAGATGGTAATGACAGACAATAAGTACTGCCCTCGAATTTTTCTGATTGATGGACCCTGGATGACCATTTGAACTTGAGTTTGAGTAGCTCTCAGGCTCAACAGTTGATGAGGTAAGGTAACATTTGGGCTTTATAGTCGAGTGAAAATTTGCTCGAACTTGAAGTAAAGTTAGCCCTTAGGCTTTTTTATATTGGCCCTTAGGCTCTTTAGATCGGCCCTTAGGCTCTTTTAGGTCGGCCCTTAGGCTCTTTGAGTTGGGCCAATTCGGCCTCTAAAAACGGCTATAATTTTTCCCTCTTTTTGGCTAAAAGACTTAGCGAAAATTTTTCTATGCTTTAGCATGTGTTTTTTGTACCCGTTGGGTTTTTCGAAGATTCGACCGATCGGAACCATATTTGTAATTCGTTTGTGTAATGATAATCGAATACCTCTTGAGGCTTTTTCGAAAGCTGATGTCATCGAAGCCTTTAAATTATTCGGGGGCTGATTTTATCGAAGCCCTTTATCATTTGCTTTTGCCGAGGGTGTTGATACCCAATTTTTCCCTATGTAATTTTTATATACAAAATACTTTCAAAAATAGCATATATATGCATATATAAGCATACCTAAGTGTTTTGGTATGTTTCCTAATTTTTAAGATTTTTTTAAATCGACTTATTGTCCATTTTAGCAATAAAAAAAAGTCAGTAATTATTCCCAAAGTTTATCGTTTTGGTGAATGACCTATTTTATTCTCATATTTACACCAAAACATAGCTAAGGTGATTTTTGTATATTTTTACAAATTTATTTGGTATTTAGTAGACTAAATTGCATGTAATTGCAATTGTAGCCTACTTTAAGATTAATAGCATTTTATAATTATAAAATTGGGTCCAGAATTTTTAAATTAATATTTATACACTATTAATTGTTTCAGTATTCTTAATTTACCTTTAAAATCAGCTTTACTATTTTATATAAATAAAAAGGGAAAATTGGCTATTTAATATCTAGCCCCATTTCTATTTCAATTATAGCCCTATTTCATTTCAATTTTGGCCCCTAAATTGACCCAATTCTACCCAATTAATCAGCTTAATTTCAGTCCAGACCCAACCCACCTACCCATCTAAATCTGGACCGTTGATCACTCAAGATCAACGGTCAAAACTCACCCTTCCATAATTAAACCTAACAACCTACCCTAATCCCCCTCATTCTCACCGGACCCGCCGCCCTGAAATCCCAAAACACTCTCAAATCCTCTCAACAACTCTCCGAAACCCTAGCCTCCTCCCACCTTCCTTCACCGGATTTTCACCGGAATCCATGGCTTCCCAGGCCATGGATGGTCTCTACCCACCTTCTCCACCATTAAACCTTGAGTGTTCGAGGTCTGGAAGGCTAACTTCAATGCTTCTCCCTCCGATCTTCGATTCCATGGCTTCTCCGGCCATGCTCCGGCACATTTGAGACTCAAGATCCTGATTCTTGACCTCTCCGACTCAAGATCGGACCTGTCTCCAAGCCTTTCTCATTTCTAGGGTTTCTCCGAAACCCTAAGCCATTCGAGGTTCTTTCACCGTTATTTGTTTAGATCTATACTGTGTCTATGCTTTTCTTGCCATCTAGAGTGTTTTCCCCAAAAGTTTTTTGTCTAAATCGTTTCTCTCCGATTTTAGGGTTTCTAAAAGGATTTTTGGAAAAAAAAGATCTTTCTGATTCTTTTTCTTTTTTGCTTTATGTGTGTTTGTTTATACCCTGCTCGTATGATTTCTTTTATTTTATGCATATATTGTCTTTTACCTCTTCTTTTCTACTCCTGCTATGTTTTCACTACTCTTCTGCTATGTGTGCCTACCGTTTGATTTTTTTTGGACTTTGTTCATGTTCTTACATGCTTCATCTACTTGTGTTCACGTTTGTATTATTTCCTTCTTCTGAACTCGTTTAGGCTCTGAGTTTTCTCAAATATGTTCTTCATGATTTTTCTTCCTTTATCGTTCAAGCATGCTATCATATCTGTTTTTGTTGAGACTCTGAAACAAATGGTTTGCTTTCCATGTCTGATTCAATTGTGAAACCCTAGGATTATGGGGTTTCCTTTGACGACTTTGATTTTTGTGTTCGAGTCAGGGTTCCACATTGGGACCCTGGACTCTCAGACTCATTATGAGTCTGCAGATTGAACCTGCATCTCCTTGCTTATGATTCTGAATTTTTCTTTGGTTAAATTCTCTTTTAAATAACTTAACAGTCTCTCCTTGATTTACATATTTGTGTGTTTATATATGAGAACTCTTCTTTCAAAAAAAGGCTTTGCCAACTACTGATTGATCCCGAATTCCTTTAATTGTGTTCACTTGATTGTTACTGGTTTTCCCTAATTGAACCTTTCTTTACCCCTTTTCCTGACTTGATTCATTCAAGTAAAAGTCGAAATTTTAATTTTTACTGGTTGATTCCCTTTCCTTTTTTTTACAAACCGTGTACTATTAGTTTGTTGCCTTAAATAGCTTCTATGTACTTACCCTTTATTATACTACTGGGAAAATATTTTTTCAAAATCCCTTTCCATAATTATTTTTACCCGTTTGAAATCAGAATCCCTTAACTAAAGGGAGACTGATTACAATGTTATTTCCTTACCTTTTTTCTTGATTATTTGCTGCATTATAAAAAGGGCTCGAGCCTTCTGCATTGAAACAAGTTTTTAAGCTCTGAAAAAACT